CTGCACCTAAGTACTTTAATATTTTCCCCACTGCCATCGTCATCCTTTCGTGCTTACAGACAATACACCTGAACTCTAAAGCCGACGATGCCTTTGCGCCGCGGTGCGGAAGAAATTGACATTAATGCTGGCTGGAAGTGTAGACGTTCGTATTTTCGTCTGGCAACGTGGAGTCGCTTCTGTCGACGGCGAAAGACGAAAGCCGGAGAAGACACTGGACCCCCTTTTGCGGGGCAATCACCACCCTCACATAGTGTGCAGGAACTGGAACGCTTATCCTTCTTATTGGGATAACGAGTGCAAACGCCCAGACATCGCGGGCCGCATCCTCTTCGATTGGTTCTCATACGCGAACTTATGCTGTTGGAACTCAGGGGAACCAACTTATTTCCACCCAAACGGATCATCAGCTATAGACCTGACCTTCTGCTCCCTGGACCTATTAGGTTCCGCCTTGTGGAGCCCTTGCGTGGATACATTAACCAGTGACCACGCTCCTATTTCGATCACTCTATCTATCTCGGGCACCCCTAACCCGACGACTACCCCTCGTTTACTTTTCTACAAATTGGAGTCGTTATTTCAATAATCTCGATCAGCTTTGGACCACCGAGGAATCGAGTCCCACCTCGTATAACGCCTATGTAGACACCATTCGTGAGACGGTTTCCTCTAATACTATAATTCGCTCCATTCCCTCCTCGGGTCAACCACCGTGGCGGACCCCTGAATGCATCCGCCTTGTTGTTTGTTTGGTGAACAATAAAAAAATGGCTTTGTTAAATGTAAATTATTAAAACATTTTTAAATGTATTAAAATATTCAAGTAAATAGAACAAGATAGCTATAAGTAGAAACATATTCTAAAGAATTAATAATAAACAAGTATAGAAAATTACAGTAAACTGTACCGAATCTAATATTTTAATTAATCATAAATACTTAAGAAACATAAAAGATCGACTTATTTTTCTTTGTTTTTTTATATAAACTGAAGTCGTATTAGCAATATTTTGCTATTATTTGATGAGAAAATTAGATAGGAATATACAAAAAATAGTTTTCTTAACGGTCAAGGAGAAAATTACTTTCAATAAAAGAGTAAAAAGTAAAAAGACATTTTTACTCTTTAATTTATTTATTATACATGCACAGTTAACGAATCCCATACATCTATATATACTGAATATTTATGACTTATTTTATAAAGAAAAATGTAATGTTCTAAACTAACAACTTTATTTCACTTGATTCAACTTTAAAGAAGCAATATTTATTACCTTTCTTTTATTCTAAGTATTATTATAATGCAAATAAGTTAGAGATATGAATTATTTTACATCTCATATTTTAAACGAGAATATTTTACATTCAATGCATTAATTTCCTTTGCAATAAATATGAAGTAAAGAACTTGAGATCAGAAATTCTACTAAGGAGGGAGTCACTAATTTCAATCTCAAACCTGTATGCTGTTTCTATTACTATTCTGTGTTCGTCGTTTGCAACGAAAGTGTGGAGAAATTAAACAAGTCTCATAAGTTTGTAATTCTACACATATTTTATTAATACAGTTTATTTCTAAATATATGTAGTACTAACAGATATGTCAGACGATCCCCGAGCAAAATGTAAGGACAACAAACATTGGAATAAAAACCATGTTAACATTTTGATTATTTTCGTATACCACTACTGTGCTTATCATGAAGTGTTAAATAAATTATAAAAAGAAAATAGAAAATGTAACCAAACTAAATAAAAACGACAAAAAATCTACTTTAAAAAGAAAAAAATATATATCGATTTTATTTAAATTCATTTAAGAAAATTAAGACAAATCGACAATCATTATGAGGCATATTAACCAATGAGTTTTACTTGGCACATTGGAAAACTCCCAATATGTGTTTTGTGCTTGCTAAGAATGTGATGCTCGTATTGTACGAATTGACGCAATTTCATTGGTCAGGTAGACAGAAATTTTCGTTTTTCAACAAAAAATTGTTGTTTATTTTCATGAATCAAGAAATTGAAATTGTTTTCTAATATTAACTGTAACGTCTCATTCACAAACCAATATGAAATGGTAATCAACCAACCAATGAAACTTCGCTAAAAATGAACAAAACACTTAAACTGATACCCTTGAAAACTAAAAACCATAATTTGTGATTGCTGATAATTTCGTAGCAAAGTAATTAGGCTAATTTCTCTTATAAAACAGGGAAGGTATGGGACATTTGTTCGGGAGATGCTAAGTAGATGCGTGGCTGTATCTCAAAACGCTTTCAAGTTATGCCATACGCAAGTTTTAAGCCGAGAAAGTTACGCAAAGCATTGCTGGGTTTTTCTTATTGGAATTGGAATGCCAAGTTTCGTTGATTTGACAGAACGATTACCTGTTGCAGGCGAGAGATTAAAGATAATACGACCAAAAGTAGTAGTCAACAATTTCTGAATGAAAGAGTACTTCTTCAAAATTTTAATTACATTTGCTCAAACTATATTGAACTGTGTAAAGAACAGACTAACTAACTAAATTTCTTGATACTCATACATTTGATCCTCCTTACAATGAACACCTAAAATATTGGTGTTAATTAAAACTGCCATATAATCCGTTAATTAGTTATTTATTTATATTTATTTAATAAGGAAACAGAAATCTTTGAAAGGAGAGACGAATATAGTTATCAATAATAATAAAGAAAATACCTCAACAATAACAATTATTTGTGAATTATCTACAGTTACAGAAATCCATAATTTATAGCGTTTAACAACACAAAAATAATCAATAATAAAAATACAGTAAGATCCCACTTAATTAACGCTGATTTGATATAACGCGGTCTGCTCGAAAAAAGCACGAACGAAGTGTGGAAGAAGTTATGGCTGAAGGTATCCAAGAATTCTCCCCGAGATGAGCCTATCGCTGTATGGTTAGGTTGACCAAACTGAACCTAATCGATACAGCAGGACTAGGAGATGTAGACGAGCAGAATACTGAAGAGTTACAGCAGGTTTTTGGTAATATCCTTATCAACGACGACATTCAAGAACTGGCAGAACAAGGAATTCATGTAGAACTGGAAAACAGAGTTTCTGAGAACGAAGAACCCAAAGAACTTGTTACAGATTTCCTTAGTAAAAGTTTGGTAACGATAACCGTAATCGTTGATCAAATTGTAGCGAATGATCCAGATTTTGAAAGGAGTGAAAAAGAGAAACGAGTCGTTTTGGATGCGATTATCTACTACCGACATTTGCTTAAGGAAAGAAAAAAAAGCGACAAATGAAACTACAGGTCTTTATCGCAAAAAACAAGAATTTCAGAAAAGCCAGGACCTTCCTCACAAAAGATGAACTTTGCACTTTTGTGTGCTTATGTTTATGTGTTATTTGACATATATTATTATACAAAATAATNGAGTTACAGCAGGTTTTTACTAATATCCTTATCAACGACGACATTCAAGAACTGGCAGAACAAGGAATTCATGTAGAACTGGAAAACAGAGTTTCTGAGAACGAAGAACCCAAAGAACTTGTTACAGATTTCCTTAGTAAAAGTTTGGTAACGATAACCGAAATCGTTGATCAAATTGTAGCGAATGATCCAGATTTTGAAAGCAGTGCAAAAGAGAAACGAGTCGTTTTGGATGCGATCATCTACTACCGACATTTGCTTAAGGAAAGAAAAAAAGCGACAAATGAAACTACAGGAGTTTATCGCAAAAAACAAGAATTTCAGAAAACCCAGGACCTTCCTCACAAAACATGAACTTTGCATTTTTTTTGTGCTTATGTTTATGTGTTATTTAACATATATTATACAAATTAATATAAAAATAAGTTAAATAAAAATAAGTTAAAATTAAAGTTATTAAATTTCTTTCTTGTCATTGCCTATGTGTGTAGCAATAATTTGTGTTATATAAACTTTTGTATTTGTATTGTGTAGCAACGCTTCGTATCATATAACCATTGTATTATTTTTTACAATAAATAAACGGCCATGACGTGAGTCTTTTATCAAGCCCGCCACTTTTTGGTTCGGTATGACTTGAAACGGATTAAAGTAGTCGTGTATGGTTTTTTAGTCAGTAGTCAGTAGATATGCAAACTTGAATAATAATGACTTCAACAATTAAATTTGTAAATGGAATAGTTTTAATTGTAAAAAATTTTTATATTTAATAAAACTTAATATGAAATTTAAGGTGCCAAGCTTTTGATTTGGAGGACCAGAAACAAATTCGAAAGGGTGGAAAAATCTAGAAATTTTTTGAGGTTGTTCATTTCAAATATGTCGAACTTTGTTTTTCATCACCTGGCCGCCCCATTCTGGGCTTGGCCGATCTTATGACAATCTTGATAAAAATAACCCTTCTAGTGCCCACAAAACGAAAATACTTTAACAAAAAGTCAGTCAGTTCTATAATTAATTCCAGTTTTATTAAACAATCAGTTTTAAAATATTTTATTCAAAATTTAAAGAATGAAAAATTTCATTAATTTCAGCAAATCATATTTCTTTAAAACAAACGTTTTCGGTCATAATTATGTAATGTGTCAATCTACCTCTTTGGGAGCCCGGGTTCAAATCCGGACGAGTAACACTAAAAACTTTTTGGGGGGTGGTTTGTTTCTAGTGCATTGGGACATGTCTCTCGCCACACGAACATTGTTGGCTTGATCAAAACCTCAAATCCCTGAATGATTTCGATAAAATATCCTGTGTCCACGGGGTATAAAAAGTAAAAAAAAAAAGAAAAGTGCAATAATAAATAAATTTGCTTAAAACCTATTAGAAATATTTAAAAAGTAAGACTGATCTTTGACGCATTGGTGAAACGAAATGCATCAAACCATCAACTATCATATAAAGTTCTTGTTGAAATATGTTATACTACGGTTCCTTTCGTCCTTTGTAGACGTATAAAATGAGCTATAACAGTCATAAATAGATGGAAAACAAAGTTTTAATTTAAAATTTATTGTAAATTGTAGTTGTAATCCTAAAAATCATTTCACATAATTAGTAACTAGTAAAATATTGTTGAAAATTTAAAAAATTAAATTACAACATTAGACACATTAAAATTTATTAAATATCTACACTTACGTTTCGAAAATATCCTCTAGGAATTAAAATAGAATCGATATTTTCATATAAATATAAATTATCACTAGCAGCCAAAAGATACTCAGGAAGATTTTCGTGCATATCTGGAATCCATAAAGCATTACCTCTTTCAGCAAGTTTCTCAATTGAACATGTACTTTTAAATTTCAATGCATCGTCATAATAATAGGTTTCAAACTAAACATTTTATCAGAAAAAAATAATAATAATATTAAGATTTCTGGTAACATTAGAATAAAAATAATATTAGTTTTAAACATACGGTACGTCTTCCTCTGTGAGTTATTCCAAAAGTACATTTAACATTATTTTTAAAACTGAAACTAAGTTCACTCGTAACACAGGGTGTTTCAGTGCTCTCTAACGTTTTCACACGTATGTTTTCAGCAGTTTCATTGCAGAAACGAATTAGTTCAATACTGCGAATTGAACGATCACGTCTGGTACGACTAAATTTTCTTTTCGTACCTCTAGAGCTAGTACTTTCTTCGTCACTTTGTTGTGTACTCTCCGGAGAAACAATCATTTTTTTTAAACTGTAATATGTTAATCTTTTTTTATTTTAAAGAAAACTATTGTAAAATTTGAGGTATAACTTAAAAAAAACTTCAAATGTTTTAACAAGAAGTTGTGCTTGTAATAATTCTAAACTTGATAAAACATTTATCCAAGCCAAATGATAATGATTTGCATATTTATGAAGTTCAGAATTTTAATGTTTTAAAAAAATGTAATTTAAATTTATACTTTACATTAATTCTTTCTTAAATAGAATTATTATATATTATTAAAAATTTAATTTAGCATATTATATTAATAGTTACATATTACCTAATTAATAATTAAGTAATATGTAACTATTAATATAATATGCTAAAAAGTCAGTTTTAATTTTTAAATTATTTTATTGTTTTTTATTATTAAACTCAATCAATTATACAACAATAATAGAAACGTATTTGAAAAAAAAAATACATTTTTATTTATTTTTGTATTAACGAAATGGAATGTTAAACAAAGAATTTCTAGTTGACAAGGGGTTAGAAATTCAAACTAATGGTTAACTTTGTTTCATATCAAACAAATGATATCAGTGAAGAGCTGTTCTGCCTAATACCTGATCTCAACTGNCCTTATAGCTATCGAGACGCAACCACCATAGTGCACGAATGGAGACTTGGGGCTACTACCACATACAAACACCATTCATGTGCGATGTGCAGTTTTGGCTGAAAAGTGAAATATAGGGACACACACGTCCATTTTTATATATATATATAGATATAAATACTATATAAAACAAATATTGAATTTTTTTAATAAACATATTTTCACAAAATTGTGGAAGTAAAATTGTAAAAATAATAATAAAAAGCAGAAATTAACACTTTCAGCAAGAGCCGCGTGTAACTCAAAAAGAGCTGCATTTGCCCATGGTGGTCATATTATTTTTACTGCTTTTAAGGTCTGGAACCAATCTTCTATTTTTCCATGTGGACAGTATGTTTTTGACACAGATTCTTCAAGAATGTATCTACCACGTAAAAATAATTGTGCATAATTCATAAAGTTTTATTATGGCTTGTGAGCACTAAAATTGGCTTTTCTTTACTGCTAGACTTATTACACCACCACAGGACATCAAGTTAGACTTAGAAAAACACTATTAAGTTTTATTATGTATAGAAAACCAGTATTACAGAATGCTAAACTACTTCAACATTTGTGCCTTTCGTAGCATGTACAAATTTGAAGAACTAACAATTAAATAAACTTTCAGAATTACCATAGATACATCAATAAAAATTTTAATGACATTAATTTAGTAATGGCTTAGAACAGTAGTGGGGATGATGTTGATACTACTGATGTGAGCCCGATGGTTGGATTCGCAAAACATATAAATAATCTTTCTGACGCTGCTAATAGACAATTTTGTTTAGAAGATGTTAGAAAGGAATCAAATAATCTACAAACTTGAAGTTTTTATTCTTTTAAGTTCTTTCTTTTTCTTATTTCTTTTAAGTTTACTCTTTTTAAACTTTACTTAAGACACTTCCAATGCCAAAGGTGAAAATGCTTTTAAGCTTTGTTATATATATATTTTTTTTGTTTGTTTGAGTGTGTGTGATTAAATATTTCTTTAATAGTGCAATAGTATTTACCTCTTAAAATGATTAAATTTCAAATGCAGTTAACTGTTTTTGTATTTCTTAAATTTCCTCCAGGAAATTTAAGAAATACAAAAACTTCTTTTAAATTATGCTACTTCTGCGACTATCAAATCATTTTATATTGTAGCTATTAAATATTTTTAGATATTAGAAAATGCTTTAAATTTATCAGGTTTACATTTATTCACTCCATCATTTTTTTACTAGAGATAGGTTGGCATGTATTGGTTAATTTAAAACAAAATAAGAATTAGATATATTTATTTATTTGAGCTTAAAATTGATCGTGTTATAAATCATAATGTAATGAACAGTTTATTAACTAAAGAACTTGATTTTATTTCAGATAAGAAATGGCAGAAAGTCAGTTGGATCCATCAAAAGTAGAAGCTGATCAGATAAAACAGGTATTTGTTAAGCAAATAAACTAATTAATTTTCATAAAACATTACAAATCTTGATTAAAATATATAATATTGGAAATAAACTGAAGTGGTTAGTCACAATATGTGCTAAAATGGTTGAAAGTATACTTTTTTCTGAAATTAATTGGTAATTAATAATAATATACAGGATAATTTTAAATTTTCACAGTTTCTGTGTTCAACACTTCTCAAACTGGAAACAACAAAGTAAAACTGTTTAAATAATATAAAAATATACACACTATTCACTTACATGACTTGTTTTGATCTAACATGTTTATTTAATTTCACTTTTTCCAGTTTCTCTCAATACAGAATAGTTTTTTGTGACAATTGATATTAAAAGTTTGACTTTAATTAAAGAAATTCAATTAAAAATAAAATTTGTGCAAATAATAAAAAGTTATTAAATTTTGCTGATAAGTTACAATTGTTCTTCCTTTGATTTATTATCTAAAATTGAAATATTTGGTTTAAATATATTTTATTAAATTGGCTTATCATATTATGGATGAGCAAGCAAGAGTTCAGTGGGAGCCGAAATGTAGGTTTTGCAAAATTCATGGAAGCCGCAGTTCTGTACTTTTTTATTCTGTACTGCAGTTCTGTACTGCGATTTTATTATATAACTAGCTGCAAGGACCTGCTTCACTGGGTTTTTATTTGTGGACAAAAAGTAACGATAGTGAAGATTAAGATAATTACATTATAGCCAATCTTACCCGTTTTCACAGAATGCAAGAATTAGGTCTCCAGTTTCCAGACTAATTAGAGAATTTTTACGTCCAGTCAAACAAACTATTTTCAATTTGATCAATTTTCTGGAACGTTTACAATCGTTCTATAATCGAACCAATTTGAATTTAAATTCGAATTCGAAAATTTTTAAAATCAAAATAGAAAATCTTCCACTTTCAACCACTTTCAAGCCCATATCTC